CAAATCTGGTTGGGCATAGTGGATCATGCCTGTAATCCTAGCACTTTGGGAAGCCAAGGTTGGAGGATTACTTGAAGCCAGAAGTTTAAAAATAGCTTGGGCAACAAGGCAAGACCCCATGTCTACAAAAAATAAAAACAGGCCAGGCATGGTGGCTCATACCTGTAATCCTAGCACTCTGTGAGGCCAAGGCAGGTTGATTGCTTGAGCTTAAAAGTTTGACACCAGCCTGAACAAGATTGGGTGAGACGCTGGGTGGCACCTGTGGCTCAATGGATAGGGCACTGGCCCTATATACTGAGAATGGCAGGTATGAACCCACCCCTGCCAAACTGCAACAAAAAAGTAGCCGGGCGTCGTGGTGGGTGCCTGTAGTCCCAGCTACTTGAGAAGCTGAGGGAAGAGAATCTCCTAAGCCCAAGAGGGGGAGGTTGCTGTGAGCTGTGATGCCACAGTACTCTACCAAGGGTGACAAAATGAGACTCTGTCTCTAAAAAAAAAAAAAAAAAAAGCAAGACCCTGTCTCTACTAAAAATAGAAAAACTGAGGTAAAAGGATCACTTGAGCCCAAGAGTTGGAGGTTGCTGTGAGCTATGACACCATGGCACCCTGAGTGAGACCCCGTCTCTACTAAAAATCCAAAAAACTGAGGTAAAAGGATCACTTGAGCCCAAGAGTTGGAGGTTGCTGTGAGCTATGACACCATGGCACCCTACCTAGGGTGACAGCTTGATACTCTTTCTCAAAAAAAAAAAATAATAATAATTAATTAAAAAACATAAAAAATAAAAATTAGCAGGCCTGGTACCACATGCCTCTAGTCCTGGCTACACAGGCTGAGGCAGGAGGAGCACTTGAGCCCAGGAGTTCAATGCTGCAATGAACTATGATCCTATGATTTTGCAACTTCAATCTAGTCTAGGGTGACAGAGGAAGACACTGTATGTAAAAATAAAAAATATACATGTAATCCTAGCACTCTGGGAGGCTAAAGTTAAGGGATCACCCGAGCTCAGGAGTTTGAGATTAGCCTGAGCAAAAGTGCAACCTCCCTCTCTACTAAAAATAAAAAACACTAGCAGGGGCTCGGCGCCTGTGGCTCAAGTAGCTAAGGCACCAGCCATGTACACCCAAGGTGGCAGGTTCAAATCT